TAATGATCCCGGTTGAGTGTCAGGATTAAAAATAATCTGATAAATTATGACCCTAAATCATATTTGTGACGAATGTCGGTTAATTATCTGGTCTTGATAATCTCAATACCATATATATTAGTTTCCTTTTTTCTTCCTGTAGGTTGTTTCAGTGATTATATACAATTCAAAAATTAAAAAGCTAGCTCGACACCGTGATACCGGTACACTTCTATTTCACTACTATATTTTTCCTATTTCAATGACTTAAATCCTGTTTTTATTTACAGCTACGAGGCATCACGTTCACTTCGACTGCTCTAAGCCTGGGACACTTTTCATCTCCTGTCACAACGACTTTGACAGTCTCTTAAGGGTAAGTTTCATGATTTTGACCCAAGTTTCAACCGACCGTAATTATTTTGGCTCCTTCTTTTCCATCCACATTGAGTTAACTGCATGCATTTTATGCATCATAAGTTTTAGTCAATTAACCTAGTCTTTTCTCAGCTCTGTTTAGCTGTGATAATATATATCATCTTTTATGCCCAAGAATATTACTGGATAATTTAGACATTACGGGGATAATTTATCCTAAAAATTTATCTATTGAAAAAAGTTTTTATTTCGTTACCGCCGAAATCTAGTTTGTCTCCAAATGGAATATTAATATTTGTTTATACTCGACTAACCCTGGTACCTTTCTGAAATTTTACCATAATAATTTTTATACTTCGTATTTCTATTCTGAGATGAGATTGTATCACCATTTTACAATTCCAGATTCACAGAGTAGTCAACTGCTACAATGATACAAATTGTCAAGATTTTGACGGCATCAGGTCTTCTCTGAAAAATAAATGTGACAATGAAGACGAATGTGCTACTATCTATCCATGTGGACTGAACAACCCCCCTTCGGTCGTTCTAAATGTTCTTTACGAGTGCTGTTACAACCCGTTTGTTGGTAAGTTCTTCTCAACTTGACTGTTCATTGTCAAAATTCAAATACCGCAGTAAAATCTTTGAACATTTCAAACCTTGTCCAATCTATCCGAATAACATTGATTATGAGACACATGTATATTTGTCGATGGTCGGTAAAAGGTGGAGGGCGACAATTCCAAAGCAGATGCCATTTGTAACATTGCATCTTGTTTTTCCAGTGGGCCACACTCATCCTCACAGCCACGGCCCTGAGGGAGACCATCACGGCCCTGATAATGGCGCTCACGGACCACATCGCAGCCCACATCGTAGTCCTCACCGTAGTCCTCACCGTAGTCCACACCGTAGTCCACACCGCAGCCCTCACACACACCTCCACTTCCACAGCCCTGGATCTCCAAATGCTCCTCTACCAAACACTGCCGGCGGATGGGAATCTCACTTGCACGAAACCCCTGATGCTTTGACTCCACGATCGCCACATTCTCACCGTTCACGCCATTCTCACCATTCTCATCATTCTCACCACTCTCACGGCCACGCCCCTTCCCCTGCTCACCGCACTAAAGGCGGGAAACACACGAAGCCAAAACGCCGCCGTTACTAAGATCAATAAGAAACGAACTGAGTTCGACAGAATGGCCGTCATGTTTCGAGACACATACTTGTAACATATAGCACATTCCTACTACCGTATTTTTAACCTCTTGGTCGTTTCTACTTTTAATACATGTTTTTAACAGTTTATTTTATTCTAACGTATGCAGAAGTTGATTTTTGTACCTAGATAGTTTTGTGAATTTTTGGACAGTATTTGAGTTTTAACATATTTTATTATTGTTCATTCATTTCTTGTATTAAATATATTGGGAAAATGGCTTTTGTTTTTCTCTTGTATTTCAACGAAGGAATATTTCAAAAGGTGCAATTTATACCCTATCCGATGTAACTATTTGACGTGTCCGTCATGAATCTGCTTTTTCACACGTATTGGGCTCCATGTAACATTTTTATCGTTTTTCCAATTCATGAATGATAATAATTCACCTACTGTACAATTGAGCATCAAATTGGAACAACTTAAAATTTTTAACTTGTTTAACAGCTACACAACCGATATCAAAAATGACGTATTGTAGACTACAATCATTTTCGTTTTGCCAACATACAAGATCAAATCGCTGCATATACCAGTTCACTAAAGATGCCATCGAATGCCTGATTTGGGGACCAGGTTATAGAGCCGTAACACGTAGACTAGGCGTTATCAAGATCTTTTTATATCGTAAGCAAGCTTCATTAAAATGTCCTCTAATCACACCAACCAAGTGTGTGCGAATAATGTGCATTATAAACAAGGTGAAAATGCATGTCTGTATTCAAAATGGGATTGTATCGACTTTAACATATTGTTTAGTATGTAAAAGAACATCTAAAACACAATCAAACAGAGGGCTTCAGAACGTTAGAATTTTCCTTATCTGCGCAGATAATACCGAAATAAAAGTTGTCACGTTCTGTGATGATGCCGTCGCATCAAAAATACATTGGGCAAATTGTCTAATTCAAGCTGGTGACGTAACAGCAACGTCCTTGGGGAAGTAATGTAATGTCGCTTTCAAGACTACCCTCACCAGAAAAGCTACCATGCAGTGGCGCTTAAACGCTTATTTTATTATAACACAGTTATAAAAGGCTCTTAAAAACATAAACAAAAAATGTTAACAACAAACGCTGGCACCATGTTGTAATTCACTCCCTTGTTGTCGATCATGCCTTGCAGGTCTCCGGTACAAGTAACTGTTTCGTATATAAAGATTGAAAGTCCCACACAGCGAAAAGCATAATTTTACTTCTTTCATATACCATTCAAATTAGTTGCAGGCAAAAAACTATTTTGTCCATGTTACAAGTTATTCGTAGAAAAAATGTTCAACAATGATTTAGGTATGCTTCCTAAAATGTTCACATGAATGACAAAGGTTTCCCAAAAAACTGTGCAAAATATATTTCCTACGCCTTGCAAATGAGGAAAAAAAACTTTTTTCATTGGTATAAATTCATGCTCTTAACTGAATGACATATATGCCATTTGTGACTGCGTGTTCTTTTATGGATGACCAGAATGAAATTCTTAATGATTGACGACTTTGAAACGAGCAATCACAAGGACATAAACAGAAAAAAGTAATAGAAATATTACAAATGAAATAAGTAATAGAAATATTACAAATGAAATAAACGAATAAGCGAGAGGGCTAAAGGTATCCTCAAAGAACAGGACCGCATTATTTACTGCTTTATATAAGCAATGGAAGCTGAAAACGTCATTTAATACATATAAAGCATAAAAAGCAAGGCAATTTAGTGATACACAATTAAGGAAAAAAAACATATCGATAAGGAAGTCATCTGGAACAGCTTATTGAATAAATTATGATTGCTGCTATATGTACGATACTCGATAACGCGGTGGCAGACCCTTCTAACTAACGTCAAGACGAGCGACTTGATACTGAACGAAAAACATCTGTCATCTTCATGCCCTTCATAGCTCAGTAAAATTGCCATCCCTGACCACCTTTGACTAGCAAAACGAAAAGAAGCAAAGATTTTCCTTTCCCCCAACCTCAATGAACAAAATCTTGGATCCGCCAGCGTAACGAGTTCAACCGTTTAGTAAGTTTTTTTAATTACTTGATTCTCAATAGTTTTTTTATTACTTGATTTTCAACTCTGACTCCAATCGTAAAACAATGGCCGAAATGAAAATTAAAATATTATTGAGATTAATATTAACATGCTTTTAAAGTCAAATGAAGAAAAGGGAAATAATAATAAACTGACAAGACTGTTGTGTGACCATATAGTTATGACAAATAAAGCAGTTCTGTGAATCGGGCTATTTATGATATAATAAAGTATATCAAAATAAGTCTTTAAAAAATTCTGACAAAAATATGTGGTTTTGAAAAATAATTCAACCCCCTCCGATCTCCGACGAAAATAAAAATTGTTTGAGAAACTAGTAATAAAAAAACTGCCATAAATGATTTTGACAAGATTACGTCTCACAAAGTTTACTTGCACCTGACCTTATAGGCCTTGTCACGTGGGAAGTCAGTACAATGAATGAACCCGGAAGAAACTGTGCACTAAAACTCACAAGAAGGATTACTTGACCTGCGATGGGTATGAAGAATTACCTATAATGATGCTGTGTTATATGACACTTCTGCTTGTATGGCTGGCGTCAGCACAAGTTAAAGGTACAGTGTATGTCAAAATTGTACACAGGTATTTGTAAACATTATGATAGAGATTTGCTTTATTACGATATACACATGATATGTTTAACTACTCTTAATCCCTCTGATAACTTTGGTATGTACACTGTCCTGTGTCCTACAGTGATAGAATCCATTGATTCCAGTGTGTTGAACATTATAAGGTTTACATGAAGCAAATTGTGACATCCTTCCTTTTGATCAACTGTCTATTCATTTGTCAAAACTTTATCAAATACGACCCACTTTTTGAGTCTCAAAACAGAAGTGTTGATTTAAATTACCAATTGTTCCAACTCATGCAGCCGGTGCACTACAGGGATTTCGGACAAATGAATATTTGATAAGGACAGATATAATCTAAAAACCCTAGTTGCGTTAATAATTAAGTTTTTAAATATTTCATTCTCTTCAAAGGTTAAAATAAAATATCGATCAATATTGATTTCAGAGGACTGGTCTGTCCACGATTATGCCAGTGGGAGAGGGGGGTCATGACTAAATTTCATAGGTACGGACCACTAGACGAAGACGATTTCACTTAAAGACATTTGTAGAAGACAAGGGGATGGAAATGTGCTTGTTTTTGTCCCTTTCACTATAGTGAGTGTTTGTGGAAAAGAGAAAGGAGACAGTTACCTTTAAAAGTAAAGGGGAGGGAGAAGGTGTTTGTCGTGCTCCGGGGTTGGGCGATACAGGAATGATGATCCTAGGAATGGAAGTCCCATATGATACTTACAGGTTAGGGTTAGACAGAGTATTGGGGCTAGTGAATGTCACCTGTGCAAAGTGATGTGAAGCGGACTACATGAACGATTTCTGGCGGACTACCATTCCTGTCACACCGTGTATGCAGTTGACGTCATCACTAAGCCAGGCTCTAGTTGAGAGTAACGAAGGCATGCCGGACATGAACTTGATTAGAAAAAATCTAATATTTGGATTTCGAGATCAATTTAGGAAAATTGCCCTTTCCCCAGTTTATTTGCTTCGTACGAGTTAACTTTAAACATTTTCGGTTTTATGCGGAAATATTAGACCATGTAATCCATATGGAGAACAGACCTGAAATGAACACACAACAACACAAAGACCTCATTTAAAGCATCGGGTATCCAACTATTTACATGGCTTTTTATGTGTAGGAGACCAAACATATAAAATACTGGTTAAGACTGGAAATACGATTGGTGCCGGAACAGAGGGAGATGTCTTGGTTACTTTATACGGGACAGAAGGGGAGTCTCATGAACAGAACCTGGACACTAGCGGCAATGACTTTGAGAGAGGCAGGTAATATACATTTTTTACCCATATTAGCTGCTGATGTATGTTTTTTTCTTGATAACTGTCTGATTATGAGCGTCTCCAAACTTGTGATGAAAAGAAAGAAAAACTATAAACCGACTGACGTTCCATTAAAATTAGGCCACTTTTTTGTTTTCTAAATTTTGTCATGCATTAGTGGATATGAAAATAAGTTACAGATGAAAAGTCTGTATAAAAACATAAATAATTATATTAGTTCTTAAAAACACCATTATTTGTCTTATTCATCATGCCTTAAATTACGAAGGACGAACGTGTGCGTGTTCTGGTTTATACTCAAGTCTGAACTCGGTTAAGGGGAAGTGGTGCGTTAAATAGGGTGTTGTCTCTTCACAATCAGACGTTTGATTGAAGGCCATGAAGTCAGTGAACCGTTAGTAATTAGGCGTTGGTAGACGGACGCAATCTACCCACACCAAGACATGCATATACGCCTGCAACACCAATGGGACCGATTTCGCTCGGCAAATGCGCCGCTCTTGAAACACCGTCCTGCATGACTGCATTACCTCCTCGCTCATTCCCATTCGTCGTTGTCGGCATCGCTTAAGATGGACTCGGAATCATTACAGCTCAACACTTTATTCATCAGGTCTTGGACCCTCATGCCATACCGTTACTTAGCACCACCGACTTCCCTTATTCTTTCGTGCAATACTTGTTATACAGTACGTGTCACCCCATTTCCAGGGCCAGGCTGTTAATGACCTTCAATGTTATCATTAAACAAGTTAGTTTGGCATAAGTTTGAAGTATTGTAGGCTACACATTAGATACATATATAGTGTGATATCTACAGAAGCCCTGTCTTGCAAATGTTTAACATATTAGGATTTTCTGTATAATAAAGTATATTTACATGGGCCCTGCCCTACATAATGTTTTATGTTGTAGCATGTATTGATGTTCTGTAAAATTTAATTTTGTTCATTTCAGTATCGGGGTGTATTCGCTGAAAACCAGGAACGCTTTGGGTGAAGTTCGCTGTATTCGGGTTAATTTCAGATACCAAAGACCATTAGATGATTGGAAGATGGGATATGTAAGTTTATCTATAGGCAGTCATAGTAATATTTGTAATATCACAATCCAAGTAAACCGCAATAGGCATCAAAAGCACAGAATTAAAAGGGAACATATGGAATCATTTTGTATCTTGCTCAAATATGAGACACATCTTGATCCAGTTTTGCCAATAAATATTGCAGATAAGTGTCGAAGGTGCTGGAGTTTCAGTCATATTCAACTACAACGGCTGGTTCAGAGAAGACAAAAGGATTGACATATTCAACGGTAAGTTTAGGAGAATGTCGTCTTTAGAATTACTGACTAAAATCTGCATAATTAAAGAGGGAGGTTGAACGTCGTCTCAAATGCATGTATGAATCTTGCGGGCTTGAGAATCGACGATATATCGTTTTTATGTAACTTTGAATCACACTTCCACAGGCATATCCAGAATTATACATAGAAATTTGGGAATATTTTCACCCCAGGACTTATAAACACTTACAGGGAATGAAGCCAGGGAATGTTCTCTGCGCTCCGTTGAATCAGTTAATGAATTTAAAACCCCGATTTTGTATGTTTAAATAGGTTCCTTCATAAGTTAAGATATCCACGTACCAACCGCTCTGTTTAAACAACGCTACATTACTAGGTGTCGCGTGCTTGACTATAGGTACATGTAGTTAGGAACTAGAGGCAATATTGTCACGTGGGAATAAAGCGAGTTTCTTGGTTGACATGATATTAAATACGCATGCGAGGTAAAAGCAGTTTTTACTTAAATGGTTACCAGGGGCGGATCCAGAGATATTTTCTGACAGTCTTCCAAATTATCTTTCTTAATCCATCCTCCATTTTTGACCGTCTTCAGACAGAAAACATTAGATACCCGTCAACGTAAACTTAAAAATCTGACCGTCTTCCGGAAGACCCAGAAGACGGCCTAAATCCGCGCCTGGTTACGATAAAACATCTCGTGGCTACAGATGGGGATTGGTGTAAATCGTGGACCACCAAAAGTGGGAATAAAGATAAATGTAAATTGGTTTTAGAGTAATATTTTATTTGTCTTATGTTCTTTGAAAGTAGCACAATATTTATGTTCTAAAATTATGAGAATTATTTCTTGTGATGCAATTAATAAGAAAGTGAGCTTACGTTAATTAACGAGCAAAGGGAATGCTTTTTAAACGTTAATTTATGCTTGTTCCTAAGAAATTTATTGTCTAACATGGCCTATATTTCAACTATTATTTTCAAACATGATGTTCCAGTACAGATAAGCAAACGAAAAGTCGCTTTTAAGGTCAAACTAATCGTTCAATCTATATTTGCTTTTGATTTTTAAACAAATATATTAAACCCTGTAGCAAGCACAATCCACCATGATGTTTTACTGGTTGGCAAAAATTTTTGCGACAGTAACACCCCATTTCCATAGATTTTTAGATCGATCTATCCCTGTGGGGAGTCTCACTAGATTACTGTCAGCTTGGCCGGCTTAAGCGTCTGTCCCGCCTACTAAAAGCTGTAAGGGGGTAATTAACTATGGTGCCCGCTCGACTGACTGCAATTTAGCGTGAACCCTCAGGGAGTTAGGTCGATCTAAAACTTAATCTTTAGATCGATCTAAATCTCTGGGAAAGCACCCTAAGAGATAGAATTTATTCCTTATTCAGACCTATACACCGTTTGTATATATTAGAATGTATATGTAACCTCATACATTACTTTTACTTTAAGGTGACGGAGGGTGCAAGGACAGCTCGTGTGATTGTTTAAGAGAGGTTCGCACGGGAGGGTCTTGTTCTACTCAATCAGACATTAACCGTTGTCAGTGGTCCTGTTACAGCTGTCGCAGTAAGTTAATGATACTGTAGATCCTTTTCACAAATTGAACACGGCCATCTAAAAGCATTACTATGCTGGCAGATCTTTGAAGTTATTATGAAATGTTATGATATGAAATCATTGACACTTTTGACCTGAATTAAGTTGAGAATGTATACTATCAGCTGCACCACAGTAAACATTAAATTACATGCTAGTGACATTTTTGCTTCAAATTGAGCAGGGATTGATGTGGCTTGCGGGTTATTGTGAATAATCTATATAGAAATACATCATCTATCGATGACTCAGTTCAACAGAATACTATTATTTTAGCTACAACGACAACAACGGCAACTATCCCAACGACAACTACGTATACTGTTCACTCAGATAAATCATCCTTCCCAACGACAACTACTGTACCATCTATTTCATCATGGCAGCCGAATGTGAAAGTTATCGAAACACACACAGCGTCTGTTATATCGATACAAGAGACATCACCATTCAGGGCTTCAAAGGCCCGACAAGAAACCTCAGCCACAGCTGACATCGTGGACATTACTCGGGTCTCAGTGCCCGATACTACTGTTGGGTTACTAAAAGAGAGTAGGTCTATGGAAGCAGGCAAGCCTTCCCTCATTAACCAAAGTGAGTTCTTTCCAAACCGCCATATTTCATTATAAATTCTACAAAGTCTTTCTCTTTCACAGATAATAATAGAAATTAAGAATTAAAATAAAAAAGATTTTTGTTTCCTTAAGAGAAACATACAAGCATTAATTAGAATATACAGATGATAACTGAAATTGCGAGTAAAATAGAATCTTTAAAATAGAAGTTTCATTTTTCATTTTTATGATAAAGATATCGCCACTTTTCATATTTCTCTATCTTTCAACCGCCCCCATCTCTCTTTCTTCAATGCCCCTTCATTCTATCTCAGCAAGTTTTCAGTTTTTTAAATATCATTTAATTGATATACTAATTTGTTCCAGGTTTTGGTCTGGGTTTTGGTGTAGGTGGCGCGTCAGTCTTGAGCATTGTTGGCGGTGCTGCTGCTTTTATGTTCTGCTACAAGAGACGGTATGTATTTCAAAGTCATAAAGATGCTATAGTTATAACTAATATTCATCCATAACTTCATTCTGGCAATTGGCCAGTGATGTCACTAAAAAAAAATACCTAGCATTATCATTTCTGGCACTAACCTAGGGCTGAATTGTAATAAGCGCCATTGAAACGTTTTCATGTTTTCATCAAGTTTTTATTATTACTATTATTATTTTGAAATGTTGAAACAAAAAGCAATAACAAATTCGTCTGTCAGATGCTTCATTTCTGTTTCAGAAGGAAGAGCACCAAAGAGAAGACCTCTGTTCATACGCCTCTTGAAAAACACGCAGACGAGAAGGACCACGTGTATGAACTTAACATAACGCAAGGCATTGTGGAGGATCCCTACACTCAGTTAAATGTCGAACTTAGCAGGCATTAAGTTATACACAACCCAGAAAATGGAAAGAAAAACAGACATTGCTTGTAGATATGTGCTCTTAGATCTAAATTGGAATGAAACTGTTTAAAATGTGTATGTTTATCTTCAAAAAAAAAAAAAAAAAAAAAAAATATATATATATATATATATATATATATTCACTTCAATACAAATGCATTATTTAAACAATTTATGAACTTAGCAGGAGATAGAAAACCAAAATAGCAATCTATTTATCAATATATTTTTTAAAATCTCTAGTTTTAATTAAAATTCAATCTTCGGTTTCGGTGTATATGACAGTTACTCATGATCAGTTGTTTTTAGTATGCGTGCCTCTCATCTCAGTGCTTTTCTTTGGAAATAAAAAGGTGATGATAAAAACCTTTTAATGTTTGCAAACGTCGTGATAACATTATGATTCTAGTTAATGATAAGTAAAATAACGTTAATCATTAAAATGCCAGGTCATGGTAGTTACTGATACACATTGTATATAGAGCTACACCTTGTATAGGGAATATCATATTGTATCATAGACCCCATTCCCACAGATTTTAGATCGATCTATCCCTGTGGGGAGTATCACTAGATTACTGTCAGCTTAGCCGCCTACTGCAAGCTGTAAGGGGGTAATTAACTTCCGTGCACGCTCGGCTGACTGCAATTTAGCGTGAACCTCCAGGGAGTTAGGTCGATCCGAATGGGAATGCACTCATAGAGGTCGGGCACGTTATCCAAACTTCAACAGGGATAAAAAGTGATAGAAATTACCTTCAAGAAATAAATGATTAAGCGAAAGGGTCAACAACGTTTGCTTGTAGAAGGTCGCGTGGCCACATTATTTGTTTAACACATGTATGTGCAGTGGAAACCGAAAACGCTATTAAATATGAAACACAACAAACGCAAGACGATAGTTATACACTCAAATAAATTACACCACAAATGGGACCGTTAATGAATAATCTATGACAACTACTACAGTATAGAGTCCTAAAACACACAATGGCATTCAGCAGCGGCCACATGCATCTCCCTTATCTTATGAGATACCCTTTAGCCTCATTCTTCCTTATAAAAGCAGTATAACGTACGAGCCAAAGGTGACAAAACCAACCATATCTTGTGTACCAGTGCCATTCATATTTAATTTATATTATCACCGTCTTCCATATTATATTTTCTCAAACGAAAAAAAAAATCCGTACCCCCACTCCCCGCCATGAGGAAAATATTGGATCTACCAGCGACATGACCGCGACCACTGGTTTAGCTAAATAATGGCGATAAGACTGTTGTTGCATGGCCTCT